TGTTATCTGAGGTGACCCACAGCGTCTCCTCTCCCTCTTTCTTCCTCAGTCATGTGAACAGTTTGGGGTGATGAACAGGGATTTTTCAACTTTCTTACTTCTAATCCTAGAGATCACTCAGTTAGAAAGTTCATATTCCCATGACAGAAACAGACAGTTCCACGCGCGACCAAGGAGGCCATTCGGGCTCAGACAGAGGAACGGGCTAACGCCGGCTCAGCTCGTCAGGCTCCGGGCTGGGTGTGTGTTCTGGCCCTTGTGCCGGACCAGGAGAGCTGAGATCTAAGATACCAGCATTTAATAAATGGTAAAGATTTTTTAATTTAACAAAGACGTGTATCAAGGACCTCTAGGTCTCAGGCACCGTGCTAAGTGTGACGGCATGAGGATGAACAGACCAGGCCTTTTATTCTTGCGGGCAGCGGGGGAGGGGGGAGGAAACCAAGTCTGTCCCTTCGCTCACTCACCTGCCCGTCAACAAGCCTGCAGGGAGAAAATCTCCCAGCAAGGAGATGCGAGGCACAGGGACGACACAAAAACAGAGACTGTCCAAAAATAAACAAGAATAATGAAGGTCCTGTATTCAAAAATGGCGAAACTTCGTGGAAAGAGGCAGAGGAAGACAGGAATAAACAGAGACAGTGTGACTGAGAACTCGAATCCTTAATGTAGTGAAGAGGTTAATCCAACCTGATCACCATTCATTCAGAAGATAGTTAACGTAACTTGAGACTGCCAACAGGATTTTTTTTTTTATTAGTTGGCTTATGTTTTGGGACTTGATAAGCTGATTCCTGAGTTGAAGTTGAAGCATAAATGCATGAAAATAGGGGGGCATTACAGTGTTTAAGGAGCCAGACAACCTGATGCAAATTCAGACTCAACCGCTTGCTAGCGGGTGTCGTTAGGCGAATTACTAAACGGAATTATCAGTATGATCACCACTAAAGGAAGACAATTCTACCCAATAAAACTGAAAAAAAAAATTAAAAAAAAAAAGGTTTGAAATCGCAAAGACAATGCCTGGCGGTTCTTTGCAAAGAGGTAACCCCATAATTACAAACTCTGAGGAAGTATAACAAATACTACAATGGTAGCGTCAAGTGCTAGGCTTAAGGCTCAAATGAGATACGGTGTATGACGCTTGCTCACAGCACCGCCCAGCACAGCCATATTTCTGTCACGTCATACACTGCCCTGAACGTGTTACAAAGTGTCCTTTCAGGTCAGCAGCCACAGAAATGATTATTAGCGACAGGGGTGGGGAAAACTGGTTCATAAAATACAGTAACATTGTGAAATCTCCCCGCCACATCGCATACTAAATAAATCTGAGACAGAATTTACTTACTTATAAGAAAAAGACTAAACCCATCAAGAACTAGGAGAAAATACAAGTTAACATTTACCTAAACAAAAAGATTAAACGCTTCTGAAGTTCAAATGAAAACCTTCAACAAACAAAATTAAAAGGGAAATGACAAAATGAAAAATAAAGTCATATTCATTGACAGTGTTAATATCCTTAACTCTTAAAAGCCTGGATAAAAGAAGAAAAATCCAATAGAAATAGATAAGAAATTCAGTATCACACAATCTTATATGCGATAAAATTGACAAAGGTTTAAAAATAAAATTCAAAGAAAGTGATGTATGTACACATTGCAGAATGTAAACTTATGTACTCTACTTCTAAGAATTCATTTACCAAAAAAAGTCAGACGCACACAAAGCTATATGTTCAAGAATGTTCAGTCAAGCTTTCTTTATAAATACAAAGCGAAAACTTTGAAACAACTGAAGGACCATACACGGGACCTGATTAAAGACTCTGATTGATCCATATGCTGAGATACAAAGAAGCTCTTTAGAATTATGCCTTAGAAGGATATTTAATGATGTAGGAAAATGCTCATATTTTGTTACATAAATGAATGAAGTTTTAAACACAATCAACCAACCAAACTTTCATCATCACTACTGTTTTCTCCTCCTGATCAGTGGCACGGCTCCTGTGATGGTCAGTAAGGAGCAAGTTCAGAGAAGCAGGATAAAGAATGACGGGGTTGGGGGTGTGCCCTGCCCTTCACGGAGCAGAGGAGGGACATGCAGTGTGAATTTGAGAGTCAGAGATGATGACCTGCAGAGGTGACAAGTGAGCTGAGTCAGGAAAGAAAAGGAACAGCCAGCCTGGCCATGGGAACACGGCTCAAAGGCAGGTAGAGAGGGGTTGGTGCACAGGCTCAGGCTTTGGGTGCCTGGAGGGTGCGAACGAAGGGCCCTCACTGCCGAGCCCATGGGCTTGGTCCTAAGGACCATGAGAGGCCATCACAGGGGAAGGACATGATGACCTTTGTTTTCTTAAGGTCATTCAAGCAATGGTGGCAGAAGGCTTGGAGGGGTTAACCTGGGGACAGGGGACTAGTCAATCCAGCAATGGGAGTCTGAGTACAGGCGTAAGGATAAAAGGAGGAATTTGAGAAAATTATAAACGATTTAGCATTTTCTAGATCAATGCCTGAAATTATGTTTATAATCATTTGTGAGTCCCAATTACCAATGCATAATTTATTCATTATTATCAAAGACCGTGCTAAGGCTGCATGCTACTGAGGCAGTTACACACACATTGTGAAAACCTGTGACTCATGACCAGGAAGAAGGTGACTCACTTGAAGCTTGCCCAGTGGTAAGTCCTCATCTCTAAAAACCGGCAGACGACCATGCCCAGCCAGATGCCGCCGCCATTGCACAGCAGGATGTCCAGGATGACCTGATCCCACCAGCACTCGGCAAAATTGGGCAGAAGATGCATGAAGAAAAGCTGAGAAACACAAGAGAGGATGGTTGTAAAAAGAAAACAAAACAAAAAACTGGGGTATCACGCAGAAAGATACATTTCCTTTTAATAGTATATTCTTTTAGGAAAAGTTGTTGACATTTCAGATTTTCGTGGTGTCCTTAAAAAAAAAAAAAAACCAAGGTCTGTAATCAGGTTTTTGTTTTTTTATATCATGGATTGTTTGCAAATACTGCCAATCCAAACAGCTCCTCTTTTTTGGACACAGGGCTTTAAAGAAATGATTCATCTTGAAAAATACTACCAAATTACCTCGGCTGATGTAAACACGACAGATTCAGGAGAGGAAGGGGAGAAAAGTTTTCACACCTGCCTACAGAGCACTGGCAGAATCCTCAAAATTAGCTTGAGAATTCAAGCTGCGCATTTTAGAAAAAGTCCACAGATAACTTGGGTAAAACAGTGGGTAAGTTTTAAGTTAGCTTAATAGGAAATCTCACACAAATTGGCTTGCAATGATAATCTTTTTATTAAGTGCTTACGATGTGCAAGGTGGTGAGACACAATGGATCAGGGTTCTGGATCTCAAGGGCAGGAGCCAGACGTTTATTCAGAACGGCAACATGAGGTGAGCTGTGTTAGGATGGTGACACAAGTGCAAATGCTGGGGACAGTAAGAGAGCTGTTCTTTCGGACAGCAACTGCGGCGGACTTCTGGAAGGAAGATGGGTTGGAGTGGGGTCTTCAGGGACAGGAGTGGCCGATCTCAAGAGAGAAGAGATGGAGATGAGAACATTCCAGAAGGAGGGAACAGAGAGATTAAGGGTGGAACAGAAGTCTCTCATGGAAACAGTTTTGTCTGAAACAAAGGGCCCATCAAGGGCTGTGTCCAGAGCAGCATGGCGTGCTGTGTGCAGGCCCACATTTAAGAAGGGCTGAAATGAACAGAACATATATGTATATTTGAAGAATATGTGCAGTGTACTGTGTATATGTATTTATATGTAATATATTGTATATATGCAGTTAAACTGCAACAATTCTACCTAATAAAACTGAAAAAAAATTTTAAAATAAAGGTTTGAAATTACAAAGACAATGCCTGGCAGTTCTCTGCAAAGAGGTAACCCCATAATTACAAACTCTGAGGTAATGTAATACATACTACAAATTAAAACTGCCCATGAAAGCATTTCATAGACTGTAAAACAGCACAGATACAAGGGGTCTGCCTTCCTGATGTGCCTGCAGCCGAGAAGACAGAAAGCTACCCGGTGTAATGGCGAGTGGCCGTGTTCTGACCCTGGGCAGGCGGCGCAGCCCCCAGTGTGCTTTCCCGGGATCCAAGCCATGAGATGGAGCGTGAACAGACGCAGGGAAGAGGGGAACTTCAGCAGAAGCCAATGACACAGATTTGCTGAAACAATCCTATGCAGGGGACGGGATGTGCAGGACCATCCGTCCGTCTGAGAGCCTTCCTAAAAGCACCAGATTCGGGGGTGAGACGCCTCGGGCAGAGTAGAGTCGCGGCTGGAAGGAGCCACCTTCATTCACTCACTGGGGATGTGGGAGCGGCTGCCAGTGTGAGGCAGAGCACTGGGGTCTGGGACACGGGCCCTGCCCTCGAGGCATAACGTTTAGCAGAAAAGAGACCCTTGTCAAGTATCCAACATGCTTTCAGAGGAGAAGGGCCAGAGGCCCTCCTTCCAGGTGTACAAACACAGAGCACGGCCCGTGGACGGGCAGCAGGGAGAGGGGGGCACTCGGAGGGCGGCTCCGCGGGAAGGAAGGACACAGGACCTTTAAGCTGAAGAAACGAAGGTGCCGGAGCACAGGAGGTGACGGGGGAGGCCTCGGAGGCTCGGGAGGTGGACCCGGCCAGTGAATCCCGGGCCTCGCAGGCTGGCTCAGAAGCCTGGATTCTGTCTTAAGAGCAGTGGACAAAACTGAAGAGTTTTCAGTAGAATGACAAGATCAGGTTGAGGTCTGAAAGGTTCACTTTGGCAAAAGGTAAGTGTGGAGGGAGGAGACGAGGAATTCAGATAAGAGAGTCTGGTGGACTAGATACCAGTTGGGCAGAGGTCTGAATTAGAGAGGTGTTTAGAAAAGAGAGTTGCCTGGACTTGGGGACAATGGGACGCTGAGGAGCAGGGCAAGGAAGGGGCAGGAGGCCCAGCCCTGGCACCATGTCGCACAGCAGTGAGGTTCTGACGATGCCTGGAAGTCACAGAGGGAGAACGTCGTACAGAAGCAGGGGCACGAGCCGCACTCTGGGGTCAAGCACACCCGGAATCCACTCCTGGCTCTGCGCTCTGGTCCCCATCAGTACACTGGGAATATGCATACACTGCCCTTGTGGTTTGAGGTGAAGATTCAGGATGCTATATGCACAGCGGTGGGCACTGTGATGGACGGAATCGTGTCCCCTCCAAATCCGTATGCTGGATGCCCTATCCTCTGATACCTCATAGTGTGAGCTTATTTGGAAGTACAGTCATTGCAAATGGAATTAGCTAAGATGAGGTCGTCCTGGAGTAGGGTGGGTCCCCAATCTAATGATTGGTGTCCTTATAAAAAGAACACCCTGTGAACGCACGCAGGGAGGCCATGAGAAGATGAGGGTGGAGCCTGGGGTGATGTGTCTACAAGCCAAGGAACAGCAGCGGTGGCCAGCAAACCCCAAGCAGCTGAGAGAGGCCCAGGGCAGGCTCCCTCTCACAGCCATCAGGAGACGCCAACCCTGCCCACAGCCTGAACTCGGGCCTCTGCCCTCCAGGGCCAGGAGGGGCACTTAACAGAAGCCAGTACCTGACAGGCACGCTTTGCTCAAAGTTAGGGCCAGGACAACGACTGGCATCGAGAAATAACTGTACGTGTGGCCAACTTCTGTTCCCTGGGGATGATTAAGAAGAATGTAATAACTGAGCAACAAATGAACTAGTTCCCCGAAATTTCATCTCACTGATAGCTTTTCAAGAATATCTCACTCATTACATGAGACAAACGTGATTACTGAGACAGCTGAGCTACAACAGGAGTCCATCTTTCAGGGACAAAATGTCCCAGGTGCCCTCCTAATTCTAAACGCAATTCTGTTTATCGGGAAACCGAGAGTGGCTAAACCAGCTGTCTACCTCTTAGCAGATGTCCTCATTGCCACTGAATTGTCTTGCTTGGGATTTGAACTTCAATCTTTGGCTTGATTTCATTTGTTTCTCTTTCAGACTTGAGACAGACCAGATCTTAAGTTAGCAAGGAGTTTCTTTTGCTTGTTTGACAAAGGTGTAAAATATTCCTAAGGGATTTAAATACTTTGGTGCCACAGGAGCTGGAGAATGGATTAGCTGACTGTTAAACTGACAGACTGCCTTCTTCCTACATGTGCACGACCCGCACTGCAGGGCCCAGATATCCCCTTCTTACCTCTGTCAGCTCCCACGTGATGCTGATTGTCCAGCAAAGGCCATAACTTCGGATCAGCAAGGCCTTCATGGCCCAGCCCCAGAAATGTCCAAATGCAAATATATCAAAATGGCTAATAATCCTCTCCCAGGTGATGACGTGGCAGTTCACAGCATACTCCTGTTTAAACCACAGAGGGAAGCAATTCATAATAACATTCTGGAAATCACCTTGCTTCCAGGGTTTGGACAACTAACGAAAAGAACTGATTGACCTTGACAACTACTGAATGTCCTGCCCAATAAAACTAAGTTTTAGTAACTGAAGATACCTGAGGGAAAATGGATAAATACTAGAGTTTATAAACCAGAGTTGCTTTGTTCTGAATGGCAAAAGCTTGGTAAAAGTGGGAAGCAATATCATTTTTCAAGGGCTTAATCCATCTTAAAGAAACGGTATCACACAGCCTGCCACGTGCAACTGTGTTAAAACCTATTAACAAAAGCATAAACAGAATCCCAGTAAGTAAAGCATAAGAATCTCAAGAGGTTCAGAAATTAAACGACACATTTCTAAATATCCTGGGGTGAAAAAAAGAAATCATAATAGAAATCTAAAATATATTCAGTATTAAATGAATAACAAAAATATTACATACCAAGATAATGAAATGCAGTTAAGCAGAATTTAGAGAAAAATATAAAGCCTAAAATGTTTTTATTAGAAAAGAAGAAAAGCTAAAACATCCAACTTCGAAATGAGAAGAAAATGGAATTACCCACCCCGAACCCAAAAATGTATCAGATATTACAAAATTTAAATATTAAAACATTATAAAGCTTTTAAGAATTTTGGTTCAATTTTGAGTATCTATCTGTTTGTAATGTATTTCAAAATAACTTTAAATCCACTTCTTTATATTTCTGTTCATTATGAAAGTAGCTGTGACAATACAACACTTCTCAGAAAGCTCTACACTTCACATTCCTTGTTCCCCAAATTAAGCTGGTAGAAAGGGGCAAGATTTCAGCCAGCCGACAGCATTCCTGTAGAGCATATTTTCAAATTCTAGAAACGATACTTCCTGAGGAAGCAAAAGGAGCACCCTGTGCTCTGCTGTCTCCTCTGAAACCCAGCACATCAGACTTCTGAAACCATTCTCTGGGCACACGCATTTTAATTTGCAAGGCAAAAAGGGTATTTTAAAAAATTACATTTTTTGAGAAACATCGTGCTGTGATATTATGATGTGTGAGTGGGAAATCTAGAGAAAAGAGAGAAAAATCAAGAGGGATGAGACAAGATAAGGCTTAAAAAAGCCAAACTGCAGTGCAGTAAGAGGAAGCATCTCCTTCCAAGCTCCGGAACGCGTGCCTGTCTCGGGAGTCACAGCCGGACGGAGAGCAACGCCCCGGGGCTGAGGAGGTGCATGTTAGGTTAAGGAGCGGCCGGGTCAGCCCCAAATTCCTGGACCACCCCCTCGTCTTCTTTACTCTGGAGCACACTGCTTGGGGGTAGACAAGAAAGGGCTGAGTCCTGTGTTCAGAAGGCTGCTCACGGGCTGAAGACCACTTTTAAAGGCCTTTCTGCCCTATGAGAATAGTTCTGTGTTTCAGTGTACAGAAAGGCACTTTGGAAACTTGTCTGTTGGCATTATAACCACCAAGAACAAATTTGCCAATGATCACGTCCAGAAGCTCCTGAGGTCCTGGTCGTGAGAGGGACGCAGGACACTGCAGTTTAATGCAGCTGAGGAGCCGCACATGCAGGCACAACCCTGGAAGTGGGAGGAAGAGGCATGAAACGAGGACACCTGGGGTCAGAGGCCGGCGGGGGAGCCGGGCCGGGGGAGGCCGGAATAGCAGGTGGTAAGGAGAAATTCTATCACCTGCGACGGGTCAACGGCTTACCCAGGTGGCTCCACTCTCTCCCATGCTTGCCCAACACTTAACCAGATTCCAGACCCTGTTCATTATCCTCCCTAAGGTTTTTGATGAAAAGTACAGATGATGCTGTGATAAGTACCTGACTACCCACCTCTAGTTTAAGACTGATTAAGATCAGATTAAGATTTTAACTGGTCTCTCTGTGACTGATTCTCTGTGACCAAAATGATTTTGCAGATTGTGAATCAGGTGACTGTGGGTGTGTGTGTCTGGTGGGGCAAGAATCTCCAGGCCTCTTGCCCCTCTCTCACTCACTCCTCCCTAGGTAAGGCGGTGACCTCAGAAGCAGAAAGAACACGTGTACTCCGCCCTCTTTTGAGTCCTCTCTTTGGAAACTATTTGCCTACAGACAGCACAGGGTCCTCCCTCAATCTTGAAGGAAGTTTTGTGAGTTAGGCTCTGCCCTGTGGGAAGCAGCCCACAGTTGTGGATGGTCCAGGGGAGCAGAAGCCTGACTAACAGGGCGGAGGATGAGCAAGGTCACATGGCCCAGGTCTAAGGCCACTGGCGCCACTGAGCTGTAACCCAGAAGAAGTCAGCTGATATTTCGCACTTTTAAAAACCTGTTTCCCAACTCGACTGGAGATGGGGTAATAGTTATTGACCCGCTGGAGCACCAGTGGAGATCATGTAACTCCTCTGCTTATAAACCTCCAGTCTTCTATTACACTTACGGTGTGACCCTAACTGCTCCCCAGCCTCAGGACTGCCCTCCTCTGCCCCTTATCCCTGCCCACCTTCCTCCTGACTGACCCCTGAGCCCCAGGCTGGGGCTCCACACAGGCTGTGTGTTCCTCCTCCTGAACAGTGGCCTCCACCCACTACTCCCACTCTGCCTGGCTAATTCCCACGCATTTTCCAGTTGTCAGCTTATACACCCGCCCTTCACAGAAGCGTTCCCTGACCTCCCAGACTAGACTGGGTCTCTTTTATAAGTTCCTGTAGCACCCATTTCTTTTTCTTTACCGCACTGCACTCCATACTGAAATCACGATGCCTTCTTGATTCTGATGCAGCTTTTCACACTGCAGCATTTTGAGAATTGGGTAGGTACTTCCACATCTTATGTTCGGTGCGTACATAATGCAAGGTTCCTTTTCTCCCTTCCCAGCAGTTATGCCTGTAATCGATGCTGCATCTTACAAGTGATGCTGACCTGCAGACCCTATGGTCAAGCTTAACGTTATCAGAAGAGAGACACCTAGACATTGTGCGGCTCCCAGTGTGAAGCACAGCAGCCCCTGTGAGCAGCCTGCCACGGAAACTGCACTGGAATCTGGATCCCCCTCTAGCCTCTTCATCTGTAACTTCCAGGTTACAGGAAATTCTGGAGGACAGAGAGAGATGCTAACAACACCCCGCACATGCGAGCTGCAAAATCCAGACACAAGAAGCTCCAGAGAATAAAGAATGTGGGTTCTCTGACAAATAAACTTCGAGGTTAACAAAAGGGCCAGAGGGACTACAGATGAAGAGATGTAAGAGGTGCAGCACATGCAGTATGGGGACCTTGTCTGGATCCTAATCTGAACAAATCAACTGTAAAAAAAACTTTACAACACTGACTGCATACTGTTAATTTTAAGCAGTTGCAAATGCCATTGTGGTTATGTTAAAAAAAAGTCCATATATTTCAATATAATGTCTGAGAACTGCTTCAAAATAATCCAAGATGTGTGTGTGTAGGGGGCGGAGGGTGGAATGAAACAAGACTGGGCATGTGTTGATAACATTTAAAAAAAAAACTGTTGAAGTTGTCTCAGACAACTCTCTTGGAAAAAGAGCCAACCCTTATTTCTTTAATTTGCCTTCTTGTCGATTCTCAGCTCCGGGAGGACAGGAGGCGGGCCTCCCTTTCCCCCACTGCCACCAGCACGGCGTCTAGCACACAGGAAGAGCTCGGTGAGTGTTCACTAAACCGAAGACCGCTGCTTCAGACATGCCAAGTTACAAATCAGATGGGTGCTGAAAGCTCGTCTGAAGCTTAGAACACATATTTTAGAATAAATACTAATGAATATAGCAAACTTTCCAGACAATAAGACAAAAGACTGCCTCTAACAGGATTTCAATGGCCCCAAACCCTATTTATACTATTAATAACTCTTAAAAAAAAACTTTTATTTAGTGGAGGGAGGAAATTAGTTTTATTTACTTGCTTGTTTTTTTAATGGAGGTACTGAGGATTGAACCCAGGACCTCGTGCATGCCAAAGCACGCACTCTACCACTGAGCTATGCCCTCCCTCCATAACATTAACTCTAAGGGGAAAGGGGGTCTGAATTTCAAAGTACGATACCAGGCCTGGACCAGAGCCTGATGGGATTAGGGACAGGTGGCAGCTGAAGAAACAGGG